CTGTGTCGTGTGTGTGTGTCTGTGTCGTGTGTGTGTGTGTGTGCCGCCGCCGCGCCGCCAGGTACACAGCCATGGTACACATGCACACACGCTGTCATAGAACTAGACGAACGCTAGACGGCAGCACGCAACCAGAGGCACTTGAAGCGTTTCAATAAAATATAATGTTATCTAAATACGAAATCTATTTACTACCAAATTCTTAATGTTTCTATACTCTCTTTCACCTATTATTGCCGACAGCTTCCTGTAAATTCCGTCGAAATCCTACGTGCAACCATATACGCTGTCAGCCGCCATTGCTCTCGCGGCTCCACTGTTGCACGCTTACACTAATATATATAGTGTAACAACTACTACACACTAGTTGTGTATTGCACAACTATAAAGATTAGTGTAAGCGTGCAACAGTGGAGCCGCGAGAGCAATGGTGGCTGGCAGCGTATAATAATTATGGTTGCACGTAGGATTTGGACGGAATTTACAGGAAACTGTCGGCAATCATAGGTGAAAAAGAGTATAGAAACATGAAAGGAGTTCTTCAGCCTACACTAAACCTAGTTGATACTAGTACAGTTATATGTGAATAAATAATAAAATATATTTATACCGAGTTGTTTTTGTGTTCCTTGTTAATCCGCCGTTGCAATAGGGCTTTAGCCAAGACACAGATTTCAGAACGCTGCCATGTTTCTCTGCCACCAGCGGCGCCAGCAGTATGAATGACCAATGTTCTATTGCTTCGCCGCCAACACGTATGTAAATACCATAGAAATAATATAGTTATGTATATTATTTCTATGGTAAATACCATAGAAATAATATAGATAGTTATCTATATTATTTCTATGGTAAATACTATGCACATCATAACATTGTAAGCTTGTAACCTCATTAAAGTGTCTACGTCACGAATCTCCTGAAATTTATAGCTGAAACCTTATTTTTGTAATTTGTTTACATCAAAAGTTAGTACTAATGTTACTAAATATATCCTCAAACTCTCACCTGATAAAAATGTTTTTACGTTGGTTAAATTTGCAAACACCTTGACGATTTGAATTAGTGTTGTCTAACACTATTTACATAGTACCAGGAGTAGATAATAGGGAAGGAGTGTGACAGCAATAATCAAGGGAAATTCGTCATTTACTAGCCATAAAATACCTACGATTTACTACGCGTAACTCATCCAACTTGAGCTCAAATCGTACACAGTACATTCGCCTAGCATCGTGCGAAATCGTTTCCTCGTTTACACAAGCAATCCGGAGATACAGACTAAAACGTACGACACGATTATCCATTCTTTGGCCATCAATCCAAGCCCATTGCCCGCCTCTATTAAAACCAAAGGCAGCTACCTAACCACAGCTTGCTAACTTGGCGGGCAATGTGGCTCGCTGGGAGATTTGAGCCCGATCAGCTGCTGCTGATTGCGGTTGGCGTGCGTGCGTGAGGGTATGTGCAGAGGTGGCTGCTGTACGCCGGTATGCCTGTGTAGCTGTGTACCGGGTCAAATGTTATCTCGCCGAGTGTTGATGCCTAATCTCCCAGCGAGCCACATGCTTTGCCGAGTTTGCAATAGCGCGTTAGGTAGCTGCCTTTTGTTTGAATAGAGGCGGGGAATAGGCTTGGATTGATGGCCAAAGAATGGATAATCGTGTCGTACGTTTTAGTCTGTATCTCCGGATTGCTTGTGTAAACGTGGAAACGACTTCGCACGATGCTAGGCGAATGTACGGTGTACGATTTGAGCTTAAGTTAGATGAGTTACGCCTAGTAAATCGTAGGTATTTTCAGGCTAGTAAATGACGAATTTCCCTTGTTTATTGATGTCACACTGCTTCCCTATTATCTACTCCTGATAGTACTGGCGTCTCTCTGTTGCTGTACTGGTTGCTGTGGTCGATGTCATCGTGATTTGTGTATGGTGCACAAAGTGGTGCCCAAACAGTTTCTGTTTTGATTTGTGTTAGCTATATAGAATATAAAATATAGGAAAAATAAATAATATATGTTCATGTGTATTATGTTTGAAAAATTATTATTAAAACTGCGAAATGTTATTTGTGTTTTTTTAAATTTCTGCCCACAAAAATGTTTGTGACATCCCCTTCACGATAGATCAGAGGCTAGATCAACTATACGATAAACAATGGTGGGCAGACCAGTGCATCGGAAAGAAAACGAAGGAGAAAAAAGCAGAAAGACGATTATATGAGAAACTCCCGCTTAAGTTTACAAGGAATTTCCATGGCTGCCACAATAATTTTGCCAATGCCTCGTTTACCGCAGATGTTCGCTATATCGGCTAGCTGCGTCTGGGCGCCACGCAAGAGTTTCGAATAAATGGCGGTTGTTGTTGTGTCGAGCGATTGGTTACATCGAATGCACCGGCAAATTAGGGAGTATAAAGAAGGTATATAAGCATGAAAAGTAAACAGAAACGCTAATTGAATTGTCATACATTTTATTTTGTACAAATAACACACAAATATACTACTTGCTAGTGCTCGAAATTCGTGACGTAGACAGTTTAAATCTGTAATATATTATTATAATATGAAATATAGGCATAGCCGAATGGCGAGCGTCATTAAGCTGACCTTTGCATGGAAATAGATGTATATACATGTTTATAGCCTCGTTCACACGAGACCTCGTAT